TTTTTTTTTTTTTTTTTTTTTCCTTCTTCAAGTTTTGTTTTCATATACATAATCCTTACTCTATCTTGGTCTGCAGCATGCCAAAAGATGAAGCTCAGTTGTATGCTGCAAATGAACTGTAAGCTCTCATTATTGACTTACTGTGCAGTTATTTTCACCAAAGTCTTGAAAATAATTTATGGATAAGGCTTTTTCCCAGGAGCTGGTGCCAACCCTTTTTATTTATTTTTTAATCTTTTGTAATAGTTACAATAGAGGCTGGTTTTATCACAAAGAACAACGATTCTGGTTCATTCGTGTCTCTAACATGGAACCACTTGTGAAGACTAACACTCACGAGCGAGGATCGTACCTCTGTTTCGACCCCCAAACATTTGAAACTGTCCGCAAGGTTTGGACTTGTCAATATCTTTCATTGAAATTATTTATACTGCTGCCTGTTGCACCGTTCCCATTGCTCATTTTGCTCATGTTACGTCCATTTGCTTCAGGATAATTTTGTCCTTCACTACGAGATGGTAGAAAAGAGACCAGCACTACCGCAACATTGATTCTTTTTACATATATAGAAAATGTAAAGGTAATTCGTGGATTTTCACTTGTAAGCCTTAGTTGTGTTTGTAGAATTCATGTTTTTGTAACTCGGTAATTGCAATCGATCGTGTAGGCCCAATCTTGTAATTTTAGTGAGCCGATTTAGTGGTTTCTTCCCTGTCATTTTACAAGATCCACAATCTTAGGTTGAACATGGTATCATTGAATTGAATCCTCGGCATACGGGTTTATTGCTTCCTTGTTTGTTTTTATGGTACAACCTGCTGTCATACAATACCAACATCTCTCCTATTAACCAACAAAGTTAAGAACCTGCTGTTGCCTGTTTGAACAACCTGCCAATCAATGTAAGCCATTCATTCTTCCAGCTTGTTTTGAAACTGTTTATTTGATCAAATTTCTGAGAACACTCCAATTAATATGAGCCACAAAACAATTATGTCCATTTATGACAGACATATCCAGTCGTTTGATATAATGTTTTATAAGTTTTAGCATTCATATTAACACTCATGGGTTCATATCTTTTGTTAATTACTTTGTCAGGACCAACAAAATAGTCAGCCATTGATAAATAAAGTTAGGTTCAATACGATACGATGGAGCATAACCATCTACATGTATTTATTCTCTTGTAATTGGAGGTTTAAATTTTCATATCCAAATGTATACTTTTCCAATATATATACGAAGAAAGGGGTTAAAAATAATACATGTACAAATCAAGTTTTTTATATAAGTCAAGGGAATTTGAGTGAGCAGTTGAAGAATTGAAGATTGTACAATCTTCATCTCCATAAAAAAAGTGTACATTTTTTCCACATTAACCCGACCGAGAAAAATTTCAAACGCCAAAAACTCTGGAGGGTTATTGAAAAAAAAAAAAAAAAAAAAGAAGAAGAAAAATTGGCGCTGGGAAAATTAGTTTCAAATTGCATACATTTTCTTGAACTCATTGTTAAGAATCTCTGAGTCAGACATGACTGAGAGGGAAAAGGATTTGGATCTGCTTCCCCCCATTGAAGATTTCCTTATGCTCCTGAGATTTGATGCTTCAATTCTATGTTTGATGACCCAATAGCACATGGTGCCCAATGTGGTGGCCATTATGGTGGTTCCGATGAGTGTTACTCCGATGGCGAGCCACCTCTCGCGCTCACCGACGACGACAAACGAAAGCGCCAAGAAAGCGACAGAAACGAGCACACAAGCAAGCCACATTAGTTTGTTTATAATGGCCATCATCTGCTTCTTGGCTTGGCTTTCTATAACCACAACTGAAGTTTGAACTACCACAACGGCTAGTGATATGAAGAGGGCTATCGAATCAAATATGAAAAAGATTATAAAGGGAGCTTTGGGCGCTATATTGGCTTCCCCAAGTGAGAAGCCTTGTGGTATGTCATCTGGATTATCCACATACTGACCAGGGACAGTAAAAATGGCTGCAAATGCCACTGTGGCTATAAGAACAGCTACCACGGTTGTTGAATTGATGGCGTTGTTTAGGCCCTCGGCGTGCATTTTGTTTAGACGTTTCGCTATGCCTTGGACCCGTCTTCGGGTTTGTCGAGTGTGTTCGAGTTGGTAATGAACTTCGTGTTTTATGTCGCTTACTGTTTGCTTCAATTCCCTTGCTGGGTTTTTCACTTCTGGTTTGATTGCTTTTGCTGTCTGCACACCATGCTCTTTTAGAATCAGAGCTATTTCTGAGTTCCCTGTTTTCTCCGCCGTGTCGAGAGCTGTCTCCCCCGATCGGTTTACCGCCTTCGTGTTCGTTCCGTTGTGCTTGAGAAGAAGTTTAACAATCTGCACAAAATATAACCAAAATTAATGCTCTCAAGTCATCTTGTACAAGGCAAGAACATGATCAAATCCTAATGCTTTTTTGAAGAATAGATCAACTTTCAACCATTGCTACAAAATTTTTGTTAGGTGCTTTAGTTTTCTCGTGCGGGATGAGCTATGAACGTCAAAATCCAAATACGACAAAAAATGTAACCGTTCAAGCCCACCACTAATAGGTACGGTTCACTTTGGCCCACGCCATCAGCCTCACGATTTTAAAACACATCTGATAAGGAGAAGTTTCCACACCCTTATAAGAAATGTTGCGTTCTTCTCTCCAACCGGTGTGGGATCTCACAATCCACCTCCTTTCGAAGTCCAATGTCCTCGCTAGCACACCGTTTAGTGCCTGACTCTAAGTACTTGTTCTGGTGCGTAACTCAGAAATACACATTTTAAAGTGAAAAGTTATTGAAATACCTCTGCTCTGCCCTTCCTTGCAGCAATATGCAAGGCAGTGTTGCCTTTATTGTCAACCATATTTACAGACCGAGGATCCGCCTTGATCAGCTCCTCCACCACCTCAAGGTTCTGTCCTTTGGCCGCCATTTGCAGCGCAGTCTGCCCCTTCTTATCCGTCCTCGTCGCCACGATCGGCTCCTTCCCGACGAGCGCTCTAACCACCAACAAATGCCCATTTCTAGCTGCAGAATGCAGAGCAGTTTTCCCATTGCTTCTAGCAATGGTAGCCAATCCGCTACCGGCTTCCAACAGAAAGTTCACAATCTCAATGTGGCCTTGCGTCGCCGCCGTGTGCAACGCCGTCGTGTTCGATATGTCGACGGTCATGGACAACTCCGGATGAGCCTCCATTAGAACTCTCAGTATCTCTGCACAAACACCCAACAAAGAACTGCTTCGATTAAGTCCAATTTCATTGGTTTTTCCTTAAAAAAAACAAAAATTTTAGAAATTTGAAATGAAATAAACATACCCAAATCGCCCTGTTTTGTTGCAATGTGAAAAGCATCAAATCCATTTCTTGCTTTGATCTCAGCATCCGCCAGATCGTAATATTTCAACATTTCTCTCACCAAATCCACGTATCCATATTCCGCCGCCACGTATAAAGCCGTTTCGCCGGAATGATTTTGCTTTGCCAATAATTCCTTCAATTTAACCTCATCGGCGTTCGTTAGAATCTCCATCGCCGCCGTCAGATTTCCACCTCTCGCGGCAGAATGCAGTGGTGTATCATCCCTTTTTCCTGTCAATTGTGTCGTCATCTTCTTCCTCGGTAAGCTTGGCTCCGCCGCTTGCGGCGACGCTCTGACAGATTCCGGCATCAATTCCAATTCCAATCACCAAATTAGACTATTTTCTGAAGAACCCAGATCGGAAAATCTCATCGTTCGTCCATGATCATCATTTTTTTACAGAGACCTCTGTTCTTTAATTCCTTTGAATCCCATTCCAATTATCTCTTAAGAAACCCATCACAAAAACGCGAAATCAAATCAAACCAAGTTCCATTTTCCATTTTTCCAACATAAAAAAACCCTCAAAAAGACAAAAAGAAAGACAAACCCATTACCTAAGAATGGTGAAAAAAGAGAGGAACCACCTTAAAACCTCCGACGAGGAACTGAAATGGTTATATATAGAGAAAAGGGCGAAAGCTTAAGAGCCCCATTAATGGCGGAAAGAAGAAGACGAAGATGATATAGATTATGGAAGAGGAAGACAGCGCACATGTAAGCAACGAATCAGAAACAATTTGTTTAAAAAAACTTTTGAAGCTTTTAAGAACAGAAAAGGGGTTTGAAAAGGAGGTGATAATGAAGATTAAAAAAAATGGAAGTATAGAAAATGTTAAATGTGGAAGAAATTAAAGGATGGAATTGAAATGGAGGAACGAAACATCAGAAGAAGGTTGCAAAAACTTGAGGTCGCGTTAATGGCGTCTTACACAACTAATTAAAAATTGAAAAAAAAAACAACAGAATTAACAGAATTACGCGCCCATGCATGAGCGTGTAACCACGCTCCATGTTTTTTTTGGTTGAAAAAAATAGTAAATGAAAAAAAAAATGACATTCAGTCAAAACCATGGAGCAGGTAAATGAGATTTGAAAGAGACATGCAACCATGGACAACCAAAATTGGGATATCTATCATGTGGCCATTGACAACACGCCTTGGACATGACCGTGACATCCTCTCCCACTCAATTGGTTGAAGTCCTTATCAACCGACCCAAACAAGCAAGACTAGGACATTTGTCATGCGGCTATAAGTAACATGCTTTGGACAATCATGATCGTGACACTGAGATGTCGATTTAACTTGGAGAGCATAGGAAAGCACCTGCTAGGAATAAAAGAAATCTTATTTAAACTAGAAATGAAAGACGGATTAAAAAGAAATTTCTTTTTTTTCATGATTCTTATATTTTTTTTAATAGAAATTATATTAAACAATAAAAATTATTCGTAAATATTATTTGATAGGAACCTGTATTGTTTATATATATATATATATATATATATATATATATAAAATACAACATCGATAGAAAATGAAATAAGAAGACTAATGTTAATAAGTGCGTTTGTATGAACACGTTTATGAATTCGAATTGTAGTGAGAACGGAAGATATATAATATCCCATCACGCTTGTCTTTACTTAAAAAGTTTACACCTCGTATCCTTTTAATTATAATTAAGTCAAGAGTTGTACTCGATTAAAATAGTACCATTTTAACGTTATCTTATAAGTCAAAGTATTATCATCAATTCTACTTTGAATTTTGATTTATTATTTATTTATTGGTAGGTAAAAAAAAAAATTAATTCGAGCTTTAACTTAATTTCATAAATATATAATAATAATAATGCAACCAAAGTTTTCTTTTTTATTTTTTTATTTTTTTTATTTTAATACTAATTTTGACTTATGGCAACACAAATTTAAATATATAATTGCACAAAATTCTGCTTAATTAATACAAAAAGTTAGCAATAACAACAAAAATATATATTTTATTAGATTATTCTCAAACCTTATTTAAAATATACTAAAAAATATTTATAAATTTTATCTAAAAATTAATTAAGTTACTGCGTTAAATTTCGTATTTAATTAATAAAATTTGAATATTTACTAATACTTTTTACATACGATCATTTTTAATATGTTTAATTAATTACTAATTATATCGATTAATCTATATGGGAAGTAAACGAGAATAATGATTGAGTTTACACGTCAGCTTGTTTGTCAACAAGCTTATCAACAACCCCATTAGTCAATTCATTTATTTGACGCTTCATGAATAAATGTTTTTTTTTAAATATCATCCAATTTAATAATTGAATTGAATTATATTTATATAAAAAAGTAAAATAGTGAAGATTTGAAATTCTAAATATTTTATTTTATAAATGATATTTAAATATGTTGTCCATATTTTAGCTTATATATATAGTATATTGATTTTTACGGGTCAAAATAATAGAAAATATAAATTATTTTTTAATGAGATGAAATCTAGTTATAATAAAAATAATGTAACTGAAGCAACAATTTAACTCTAAGTAGTTCAAAATTTGAGAGTCGAGATTCAAATTGTAATTAGAGTAACAACGTTGATAGTTTCAAAGGTATTTTATTTATTTATTTTATTTTATTAAGTCACTATCATTGATAATTTTATATGAATATGCATTCTAATCGTTTTTTTAATTTTTATTGAAAAAAAAAATAATAGTAAAAAATATCTCCACCAATAAACACATTTTCTCGTAATAAATATTCTATATTTTACAATTTTAAAATATTTCACGATTAATTTTATTTGATGGTTTAAATGTTTGTAAAAAAAAAAAAGAAATAAAATTTTCGATATTTATTAAAAATAAAAATAGACAATTTTTTTTTTTTTTTTTTTGAAAAAAAAAGAAAGTGGAAGGCCATTTTGGTTCGAAAGAACTATATTGGCGCGTGAGAGGAGCGAGGGTTAATCTGGCGCGTAGGTCAACGAGATAGTAATTAACTTTTGAGCAAATCAACTGGAATTGAGGTGGGGCCCGCGTGCTAATTGCAGACCAGAAGGAATGGATGGGTCCAGCATGTGGGGCCACGCGGTTGACCTTGATTGGGTTTCACTAACAAACAAATTATCTTTATGCTAATAGAAAGTGAACACACACTCTAATTTAATATAATAATCCAATTATATAACCATAAAAAAAATAGTTGAAATATACAAACTTTGAAATTTCTTTTTCAAAAAAGATACTTCCAAATTATTTCCAAAAAAATTTCTCATTCGATATTACTCTTTATTCATATTTGAAGTTCTAGTAAAAACTTTACCTACTCATTTTTTGGTTGCGCAATAATTTAGATATTTTAAATTATGAAAAATGCATTTTTCAATGTTTATACTTTTGAATAACGTCAAATAAGGATTAAGATTATTTTCAAATATTCAGTCACTCAATTGATATAATCTAGAATAGCGTATGGTTTCATCTTATTTCAATAAAAAAAATGTAGATATTTTATATAATTGAACTACATTTTTCACTTATAGATTGAGTTGTAGTGTAATTTATTTCATACGTCGAATCAAAACACATGGTTTATAAATACATAAGACAACAATTCCAATTTCCAACCAATTCTACATATCCCCTTTGCAGTTGACTACACCCTACCCAATTTATAATTTCACTGTGTTTCATATGATATTAATGGGTACATATTTGAGCCATGATTAGTATTATTTGATACATGTTATATGAATTAAGGTGACACATTAATTGAAAAATTAAGCATTCTTAATCCTACGTATATAAGATTGTTGAATATAAAGGAAATTTCCCTATAAAGGGGAAAAATCATAAATTAATGAATTAAATAATATTGACATTAGTAATTCCAGGTGATAGGCTACAGACTATCATAAAGTAGGAGAGGAAACCATGGATGTTTGTGGTTAGCCACTCACAAGTAAACAAATAATACTATGCAAACTGGGGGGTTGCCAGCAAATGGGACCGAAAGTATTAAGTACTTCGTAACTAAGCTTCAAAAAAGAGAATCGTGGCTACTGAAATTTAATGCCAATTATTTATTTATCCAAGCTATGCATGGATATATTGGGTATCAAAACACTATGGCCAAAGGATTTAAATTTTACGCTATATTTATATTTGTTACGATTATGATAGGGAAGGAGATAAAGAAGCCACATGGGCTGCTTTGTATTTGTTTGTATGCAGATTAGATAATAGTTAATAAAAAATGATGATCATCTAAAATGAATAAATCCAATATTCGCAATAAAGAAAGAAAATATGCATATTTTAACAATAATGAAATTCTTATTTGTATTAATTTCTCATTTCGAACCATGGAGACAAATTTACACAACACACCATTAACAATGTAATAATTGAATATACATTAAATATTTACATTTTTTTACCACACATTTATTTTATGTTGGTCAAGTATTTTTCTATCCCATTTAAAAAATATATATATCATATATTCAAAAAAAAAAAAAACGTGTCATCTAAAAAAAAAACTATTTATATTTGATAATGTTAAATCAAAAAATATTTTGAAATGTTTAGGAAAAAACCAGAGTATAAATGTTAGGGACAAAATTAGTGAGTTAGCCTATCAAGTACTATTAAAGTCGTAAAACATTATATATTTAATAGAAATAGATGATTTTAAAAAGTATGTTTGAATTTTTTTTTTTTTTTTTTAATTAGTTAAGAAGACACAAGTTGTATTCTATAAAAAGGAATAAAAATGAAAACAAATGGGATCCTCAATTGGTGCGTTACACGCGTAATGTAAAAGGAATCTTTTAAAGGCAACTAACCTCACGTGTGGCAAGCTCGGTTGTTCTTCGAATTTGGCCCAATATACTTCACATGGAGACGAAGTGACTTGCCCATGTGGGGCCCGCCATGCTCATCAACAAATAGACATTATGTTAATTTAAAAAATAAAATAAAAGGATAGGGAAAGAAAAGTCCACAAATGTTAAAAAACCAGTAATGGGTTGTTGACTGTGGACTTGGCCAACAAAGGTTGCTTTATTTTCATCCAATCGTCTAACCTCGGTGTGAGAAACCAAAACGGTCACTTTCGAAACTTGAGGCAGTTTAATTTTCACAGTGGTAGATTGCTTTAATAATGCACAGAAGTAAACAACTGCTGCCATCCTTTTTTATCTATCACTTTCGAGAGCCAACCACCTACCAATTTTAATCAATCAAGTTTTGACATTTACAGCATGACTTATTTACCATGGGAAGGGGTGAAATCATTGTCTTCGAGCTCTAGAAACATTAAGAATCACGGCTCTCCACAATTATACGATATTGTCCACTTTCAGCATAAGCTTTCATGACTTTGCTTTGAAATTCCCCAAAAGGTCTCGTACTAGTGGAGATAATATTCTTCACTTATAAACTCATGATCTTATACTAAATTAACCAATGTGAGACTCACTCCCAAGAAATAATGAGCTTAGAGGATAGTCAAATACTTAAATTTTCTTGGTAGAAAAAGAATTAATCAATCTGCTAGTCTAGTTTGACAATCCCTAAAAATAAGCTCAATTGCTATGACTACTACTGTATTGACTGACAATATTAAACTTATAGAGAAACGTGTTCTAAATGCGTGAACTTTAATATGAAAATGTAATTATGCTAACAAAATATGAGAAAGAAAGATCATGGACGCAAAATAGTTACTACCATAAATAAGTAGGAATTCCTACTTTTATATTTGGTCTATTTTTATTGGTTGATGCTGATAAATAGATAGACCTACTGAACCTTTTTTTGTCAAAGTAAAAATGACATGACGGAAAAGGAAGATTCTTAGTGATATTCCACCCATTTTTTTTAATAAAAGATCAAGACATAAACAAATAATCTAGCACGTTTAATGCCATGAAAGATAATTGAGATACGAGGCATACCTTCGTGCTTGGATTAATCCTAGTTGCTTTACTGTCTGCATCAAAAAACGAGATAATAAAGGTTTATTAGAAATATCAAACCCTGCAGCACATCATACATACTTTTGTTCTAGGAAACCACGAGATGAACTCACGTTTGAATCTCTAGTCGTTCTTTCGTGTCCACCAAAGCTTCTCTGTTTCAACTTCCATACCGCGTCTCTCTTCACCTTTAATATATCATTTGTCAGTCTTAACTTATACCGTCTATTGATCAATTATTGCCCGAATGTGAAGCCTTTTTCTTTAATAGAAACCAAACTTTTATTCTTACAAAAATGAAAGGATATACAAGGCCATATAAAAAACAATCCAGAAGAAAGGAGCCCCAAACTTTAAAAAAGGTTTCCGTTCCAAAAGAATAAGATAATTACAAAAGTCTTTAGAGGCCACTGCCCATAAGGAAGTATTAAACCTTTTATTGTCCCAAAGAACATCCATGAAGCTAATTTGAAGTGTTTTCGAGTACAATTAACTTGAGTTCAACAAGTAATGAAGTTCCATTAGGCAAACATCAAAGGGAAGTGTATTTTTAGCTAGGGAACCTGGCCTTTCTTTAAACTATAACCATACAGACAAAAGAGCGTATCAACTAGGTGATCGGCAAAGCAGGCACCAAAAGATAGTGTGGTCCTTTTCTAGTATTGAAACGATTGGAAAGATAGCCCTACCCTCTACAATAGGGAACCAGTCTGCTTTCCATGTTTCACAGGTGTAACTCACGAAGGGCATCAACTAGAGCCCAACACCATTTCCCTTCGGCTTGATTCAAATTTTGGATTCAACAATAACCAAAAAAAATGTTGAATGTTCGTCCAACAAAAATTCCAAAGGGGAACTGGATGTCTTTATTCAGTTGGAAGAAATATAATGAGAAGAAACTTCTTGGGAGTCCAAGCTGTTTCCAAACTTCCACCTTGAAAACAATGTGAAACTCTGGGTGGCCATATTGGGTCATCCATACGGGCAAGAATAGAAGGTTTAGAAGGGCATGGGAGTCTTTTACTTATGTAAACTCTGTCAGTAATAAATTGAAGAGATTGGGACACATGAAAGGAAAATAGTAGGCATGAAAAGGGGGATGGTAATTGGTATTAGGATCTCTAGCTTCATTTTGGAGAGCACATGACCTCTCAAATGCCCGGTGGTTTTGTAATTTTTCCTTGTGAATTCAATATTTTTCTTAAATTCACTTCCCTAGCACAATCATCATAATTCACAGACGTTTTGGTTTCGGACATGGATACACTGATACACACACACACACACATGTTTGATACTAACCAATGGAACTGTATAAAGTTGAGCAGACTCGTAGCCATCTTGCGCACTGGTATACAGTTCCTGAATTTAACAGAATCCAGAATACTCTTTATGAAGAAGAAAATAGCTGGTCTGACATTTAATTATCTTCGAGACTTGGCTGTTCTGCATAAGTTATAAGAAGAACATATTACAATAAATATACTTGCGAAACAAAATTAATTGAATTGCGGAATCACAACAGATAGCTCCCACTTGAGTTCTACAAAGACAATTGTAAAAAATTAGGACCCTTCTAAACAAAACACATCATCTAAGCTTGAAACTGAACCAGTAACATGAGTTGAGAAAGAGACTGAAATTTGGAACAATGATAATGAAAACTACAGAAATTGACGGGGATTGTTACTATGCTATTACCATCCCAAAAGTTAAATTAATGAAATCGCCTATAACCAGCTTTTGTTATAAAAATAGATAATTTTCAAAATATAAGACCGAAAAAATTGTGCATGGATAACGTAGTTGATAAAAGCAACCAAGCACCCCATTCACCACAAGAGAGACAGAGGGATTAACATACAAGGGATTCTGTTTGTACTCCAATATGTTCAACAACTTCTCGGATAATTCTGTCAAACATCTTCCACGAAAGCCTTCTGTTAATGGTATTGGAATCTGCAAAACCTTTCACGTCATCATGGTATGCCATTCCAAGCTCTTGGGGCTGCAGATATTAGACATTTCGTTATTGGAAAACAGATGCCCTGGCATTGCAAAGACTTTCAAGGGAGGCAACAAAATATAGATATATATTGCTTCGACAAATTGGATATTTTGTGTAATAAAGTAAACAAAAAAAGTGGACAAGATAATGAATCCCAGTGATAAGCTTGCTTGAAAACAATGGCCATATTCATACGGCAGAACTACAACAAACCAAAAGATTACCCATTAAAAACAATAGAAATGAAAATGGAACACTGAAATTACGTAGGGCATAGCTCTAGATGGCCTCCCGGAAATTCATCGACATTGTTACTCCTTTCCCATCTGAAGTCTCCGCCATGGCACTGTTAACCAGAGGACTTGAGGAATGTTGACAACAGATTGAGTGGTCTGCAGGAAAACAATTTGGAAAGCAAAATACTTGCAAATAAACCATACAATTTCAATGGGTTTGTGACTTAACTTCCAGAGAATATGGATTCTCTTTCATTTAGTTTCTAGCATGAACAAAGTTATAAGTTGAACTATTACATGGCAGCATAAGTAGTTCGCAAGAACTAAGGAATATGGGAAAAATGATAGTGGACAAAAATGGCTCGAATAATCACAACGTTCTGATTATTATCGTGCCATTTTCTATTAGCCACCAATAGAAATAAATTTACAAATTTTATGATTGATATAATTGAAAATAAATTCACTAATAATGGAATTGGACTTCTAATTATTGAAACTAACGCGATCCGCAATCACTCAAGGAACTAAACTACTTTAGAAAGCTACTGCGATATCTGTAAGAAAATCATATTCTTGAATGTGGAGATAAATTTAGGTTCTCAAACAAGGAAAGAAAGAAAGAAGTGCTCCTTTTCTAGAGAAAAATATGTCATGAGTTCAAACTACCAATACGCTAACAATGGTAATTTCTAACGGGACATCACACCCTACCTTCCATTATAATAACTTCAAGGATACTTTTCTGAAAAACACATGGATATAACTCATTCATTGGAAATCAAACCTCTTGAAGGACATCATACATCAACATGAAAGACAATGGTACAGAATGAAATGCTAAAAGTACGAAATAATTTCAATTTTCAAAATGTTAATATTCATCAAATCCTATAAGCCTTTTCGAATATATAAATATAACAGAGATGGAGAAAGACCTATAATCTGTTAAACCAAAGTGGAAGCATACATGAGAGTCTTCATTTGAACTACCTCCTTCACTAAGTAATGTGAATCCTCCACACTGACATTCATCGAGAAAGAATATACTAGTTGATACTCTATACTGCAAAAAAAAAAAAAAAAAAAAAAAAAAAAAAAAAAAAAAAAAAAAAAAAAAAAAAAAAAAAGTCTAATACATCTGAAAGGAGGTGATAAAATGTAGGTGAACGAATGAATAATGCTAAACTTCAGATACAAACTACAGTCCAACGCCATTGAAACAAATTTTTTACTCAGTTTTTATGATTCTGGTTTCTAAATAACGATAAAATAGTAGATTCCGAGATCAAAACTTCACATGTTGCAAGGCAGAGATATTACAAAAATTATGAGTTACGTAATCTATCAAGTTTTCAGAAACAAATCAAACAAGCTGGTTAAAGCACAAACGAAATAATGCAAATAAGCTTAAATTAAAATAAACAAGCGTACTCTAAACTTCTTTCCATTGAATAACGACGAGTTTATCTGAAGCAGTTGATTCGAACCGGATTCACATGCCTACAAGACTAACAACTCCTAGTCAACATGGCGAATATAACGTTACAGAATATGTGAAGGACTCGAACAAACAGCATAAGCGCTACCAAAATCAAGATTGAACAGATTTAACCATTTCAGCAGCCTTGTAAATAAGTCCTCTCCCCAGCATTAGATTAAAATCAAGCTTCTATGGCTAATCACAAGAACATCTATAATAAAACGAGCAATCACAAGAAAATTCTACGTCTCACCTCGGAAATGCAATCCTCCAAGCTAGAATCGGGATGCAGAACTCTATCGTCCCTCTCGGTTAAAGCTGCAGAAACCTATCGATCGAGAATTGCACTTATGAATCAGAAACTCGATTATGAATGCGCACATGAATCAGAACAGCATTCGGAGAGATAGAGTGGAAAATAGAGGAACTATGATGGAGGAAGACCAGATAGACGTGCGATCAGAATCTTGAACGGGGAGAGTGGTACATCCACTGCCTTCTGCATCTTTTTCCTCAAGCTGGAACAGCGGGAAAAAGGCGGGAGAGAATAGGTTTTGTCCAAAAATGTTTAAGATGATTCTATACAAATAAACTATTTTCATCCATTTTCTTACATTTTAAATTTAAATAATTAAATATTGTCAAATAAATTTTAATAAATAAGTAATTTATTATAAAAAAGTGTCAAAATAAATTAAATATATATTTTAAAATATTATCATTAATTTATTATAATAATACTCATTTATTTAAAAAAGTGTCAAAAAGAAAAGTGTCCAAATAAATTAAATATATATTTAAAAATATTATTATTAATTTATTTAATCTTTTTATAAAACTAAAAATCTTGTTATTTTGCTTTGCTTCGGGCTTCGGAGATAGTATTTTTTACTTATAAATCTATGATCTAATAAATTAACGGCGTGACTCACACCCAATAATCTTCAACCATACAACATTAATTAATTAATTAAATTTAATTAAAATAAAATAATTAAAACGGAATGTTATCAAAAGTTTACCTAAGTAATTAACATTTTTGTAATTTTCATAATTATTTTTAAACGATTTAAATTTCATAATTTATCATCGTCATTTTAACGTATTAGAGTTGAATTTGTTAACGACAACTGTAAAGATCGAAAATGGGTGTGATTTGGTCGCCAAATAGGATATCAAGAATTACATGATTGAATTTAATGTCACCGGCCGTGACCACACCACATTATTTCTAGTTTATACCCACATTAATTTCCTTTTGCCACCTCCTTCAAAAATTAATTTTTTTCCACGTGTCATCCCTCTACACGCCTATCTTAAAGCTAGGTAACCAATGGATCTGTCATAACATAAATTATAAATAAATATTGAATTTTCATATTTATTTAAAATATTTGTATTTAAAAATAAAAAGTTGGCAGTTACCTTTTCTTTTTTAATAAATGTTTTAAAATTATCTTCAAAATATATATCTATTAAAAATTTAAACAAAAATTGAAATCTAGAACGAACATAACATAACCTGAAATAAGTGGTTCGTGTTCAAATTTCACATGCTCGTAAAAAAAAACAAGAGGGTAAAGTGAAAACTGAGACATGAGTTGTAAAATATTACCAGGAACCGATACCATTTTTTAAATCACTTTATCTATCTGTCTTAAACTATATTTTACTTTCGGGTGTCTTGGGACAATGACCAAAAACAAAAATTGGGACTCGAGGCATTACCACCTGATACGCCCAAACCCATTTTAAGTCTCAATTTTGGTCAGATTTTAAGAATTTTCAACTTCACTTTACTCGGCAACACAAACAAATTATTTACTCGGGTGTCGTGGTAGTGATGACCAAAAACAAAAATGGAAACACGAGCATTACCACCCCAACACGCCCAAACCCATTTCAAGTTTCAATTTTGGTCAAATTTTAAGAAATTTCAACTTCATTTTACTCGAGTGACATGAACAAATTATTTACTCGGGTGTTGTTCATTATTTACTCGGGTGTCGTGGTAGTGATGACCAAAAACAAAAATAGGAACACTAGCATTATCAACCCAACACGCCCAAACCCATTTCAAGTTTCAATTTTGGTCAAATTTTAAGAAATTTCAACTTGATTTTACTCTGAGTGACACAAACAAATTATTGATTCAGGTGTCGTGGTAGTGATGACCAAAAACAAAAATGAAAACACGAGCATTATCACCCCGACACGCCCAAACCCATTGTCAAATTTTAAAAAATTCCAACAAACGACTACGAATAATAATATTGAAACTTCTAAAACATCCCGAGCCAAGACAAGAAATACAGACATACGCGAACACAATGAATTCAAATATATATATGAAGAAACTCCAATGAAATGAAACATGAACAATCTGGGCATGTTCTAGTTAGTAAGAACCTGTTCCTTATGAAACAAATGAACAGCACCAATGGCAATAACGGTAAATACGCAAAGCTATTCCATTTCGTGTTTTAATTCGACAATCACTCAGGGAGTTTGAAAGTGGCTATGTCTTCCTGTTGAATCCAACCATATTTTTCCAGAAATGGGTTCGACAGAGATTCAGGTGGATACCGTTGAATACAATCCTCCCAGACATTGGCGTCTTCCAAATCTCGCACCACCTCCCACAAGCAGCTGTTGCACTTAAACCCAGCTCCAAAGCTTATCATCAAAACCCGCCCACCTTTCTTCAGCCGCTTCTTCGCTTCCATATACGCCAAAACATACCACAAACTACTCGCCGATGTATTCCCAAATCGGTGCAGTGTCATCCTCGCCGGCTCCAGGTCATACTTCTCCAGCCCCAAACTCACTCCGATCCCGTCGATCACCGCTTTCCCGCCGGTGTGAATACAGAAATGATCCACCCCTGTTTTGAAATTCACCGCACTGGTTTTCACCCCTCTCCCCTGTTTTCCGTTTCTCTTCAGTTTTTTCACCGTGGTAACAATCAAAAACTGGAGAAGCTCCCTTGTCGGTAAAATTTTCGGTGCGATTTCCCGTAGGTTGTCGACGAAGGCTCGTGTTGCTGCCTTTGGAAGGTTTTTACCCAAGTGAAAACCCATGTAGCCTTTGTCGTCCTCTGTTTGGTAACAACAGCTGTAGGATTCGTCTTTTGCGCCGTGGTGGGTTCGAACCAGGGTCTTGAGTTTGAACATGGCTCTGTTTTTCAACGTTGTGTTGTTTGTGAGAAGAATCGCACACCCGCCGGATCGGAATAAGCAATTCGACAAGATCATGGATCTGTCGTTGCCGGAATACCAATTGGGGCTTAATGATTCAGATGTTATAACAAGAGCGTTCACGTTTTTATACGATTTGAACACTCTTGAAACGACGTCGATTGATATTAAACTAGCGCTGCAGCCCATTCCGGTGAGGTTGAACACCTTGATATCAGGGCGGAGCTTGTAATGGTTGATGATCCGAGCGGAGAGCGACGGAATTGACGCTAACATTGAGACGTTTACGACTAAGATGTCGATTTCCGGCGGGGAAAAGCCTGATTTGTCGAAGAGCTTCTGGATGCTGTCGTGGAAAAACTCGTCCATTTCTGAGATTCCATCGTCGAGAGTGGGAGATTCTTCACGGCCGGCGAACATGATTCTTGGGCCGTAGGTTTCTTCGCCGATGCCGGAGCTGACGGCGGCTTTGAGGAAGAATTTGTACTCGTTGAGGCCGAGGTTTTTGGTTCTTTTTATGATGTCTCCGCTGAATTCTGTGCTTAATTTTCTGTCGTCTGTTGGTTTGTAGCATTGATACTCCAATATGTAGCATTGTTGGTGTCTTTTTTCATCAAAATGCTTCCAAATGATGAACAGGAAGAACAAAAAGGAACCCAAATAGAACAAACTCAGAAGCTCCATGACAGAGGTGAAAAGAGCTCTGTTTTTTGTTCAAGAACAGAGAGATTTTTATAGAAAGAAGGAGCAAAGTGGGGGAAAAAGAGCTTTTTGGAAGAACATGTGAAGAGGGTTAACTCCCAACTGATAAAGGCTTTCAAGCAATGGCTACTCATAAGCGAGCAGGTGGGCGAGTAAAAGCTCCGCTACAAAAATGGAGAAAGAGTCAAACGAAGAACACTCAAATTATTGGATTTGTTGTGAGTAGTTTCAGCTTTAGAACCCTATAATATATATAGAACAAATTTTTGTATTTACGTGAAAAATAATAATTTGATTCGCGTTTTCCTATACACTTTAACCCACCACTTCAATCGAGTTGATTTACGAGTTATTATGAATATGATAGCATGACGAGGTAAAGAGCGGGGAGAACTATGTCATGATTGTTTAAAGCTCGGGATAAGTTTTGTTTAAAAGAGTATGTGTGAGATCCCACATTGGTTGGAGAATAGAATAAATCATTCTTTATAGCATTGTCGATATCTTTCCCTTGTAGATGCATTTTAAAATCGTGAGGTTGACAGCAATACGTAACGGGTTAAAATGGACAATATTTACTAGCTACTAGCGGTGGGTGTTTGGCTATTACAAATAGTATCAAAGTTAGATACCGGGTAGTGTGTCAGTGAGGATGCTGGCCCCAAAGAAATGGATAATGAGATTTCATGTTGGTTGGAGAAGAGAATACAGGTAATGTGTCAGTGAAGATTCTGGCCCCAAAGAAATGGATAGTGAGATCTTATGTTAGTTGGAGAAAGGAATATTATTGTTCCTTCAAATTTCTAGGGATAAAAATGGTAAAAATAATAATTAAGAGGGTGGACTTGTTGACCTGAATAGTCAAATTTAAACTTACTCAAATGTAAAAAAGTCTATGTCAAAGGATAAGAATAAATAAGAAGGTAGTTGTGAGGCTTTAGTCAACGACAAAAATTTAAATTTAATATTTTAGAACTTTTATAAAATAATAATTTAGTTTTTCTAATAAAAAAAATATCTTATTTCTTGGATAATTATGAGTGGTTTAGCATATAAATACATTTATTAATTTTTAGCATATAAGAATTAAAATTTTAAAATTAATTATTTTTAACAAAAAAAAAAAAAAAACATAAATGTATATGCAATAAACCAATAAAAAAGTAAACGAATTAGTCAAAGGTGGAATTTTACTACACCTAAGCAGACAGGTCAATTCCAAAATTAGGGTTGTCGGATAAACATGAATTCAAACAATTCATAGCCAGTACGAAATAAATGATTGGTCTTGTTTAATAGTGTGACACATTATTTCCCTAAATTATATTTCCTATATATTAAACTTTAGTCTTGGGTTATTTAGGTTTAAGAATTTACTCGTGACTTAACTTAGAGATTTTATAACTAGGGTTTGAACCCAAACGTGATTTTTTAGTATCAAGTTGTGATAGGAGTTGTGTTGTGATTTTCATAGTAAATGTGGTTGGTTGAGGACGTGGGACGGGTGTTTATATTGATTGACGGTGATAGTTTTGAGATCTTGATGTATAACAAGTATGCTTATGTTCGGGATTAAATCGATTATTGTTGACGACACAACAATGAATGAACGTCAACCTTTT